GTTTCGTATGTATTGGATACAAGTTCTTTGTCAGATATATAATTTGCAAATATTTTCTCCCAGCCTGTGACTTGTCTTTTTATTCTCTTTAACAGTGTCTTTTGATGAGCAGATGTTTTAAATTTTGATGAATCTTTATTTTTGGTTTTCAAGAGTTTGGCTTTAATGAAGCTAGGTGTACTTTTTTCTTAAATCATTCTTTGGATTCTCTTGCTTTCCACTGGTCTGTGTCTGTGGTGTTTTGTTTTGTTTTGTTTTTAATCAGTTTTGCGGTCATCTGAGGCATTTTTTCTTTCAGTTTCTTTTGCTCCCTTCTTTTCCTTATCACACTCCAAGTGAGTGTGTGTTATATCTTTTGGTGTAGTTACTCAGCTCTTTGATTCTCAGCTCTGTTCTCCCTCCCACTTTTTTCCTTTTGTCTTTCAGTTGGAAAAACTGCTACACACCTATCTTCTTCAAATTCAGTGATTCTTTCCTTTGCTATATCTGGTCTGCTGATAGTCCCATTGATTATGATTCTTATTGGATCATGTTAATTAATATCTTTTTCTCTAACATTGTGCTTTTTTATTTCTTGCATTTTCATTTGTCTCCTTTTATAGTTTCCATCTCTGTGCTGAAATTCTGTGTCTGTTCATACATGTTTTCCACTAGATGCTTTAAAGTGTTAAATTTATTTTAAAATCTTCATCTGATTAATTCTAAAATATGAGTCATCTCTGTGTCTTGTTTTGTTCATTGCCTTACCTATTGAATGTAGACCATTTATTCTTTTTTAATAATATTGTGCTTTTAGTGAAAGTTTGCATAGCAATTTAGGTTCCCATTTGAAAATTTTTACACAAATTGTTCAGTGACATTAGTTACATTATTCACCATGTGTCAGCATTCTCTTTAATGTGTTCTGGTCATTCCATTTCCAGTACTCTAGTTTCCCTGCCCCCTTATCTTCTCTTCTTTGCTTTAGAGTAATGTTGACCTTTTGGTAGACCATTTATTCTTAGGGGGTGTGTGTGTGTGAGAGAGAGAGAGAGATAAACAGAGAGGGAGGGAAGGAGGGAGAGAGTGTGAGAGAATTTTTATGGGATGCCACGCATTCATTTTTTCTGTATCAACAATTTGGACTAGGATAAATGGCTTTATACCCAATAGGGGGCATACCTCCTCTTCTTTCATTTTGTTAGTGGGCTTCGTTTGGGAGTGATGGTAGTTGAATCAATCTGTTCTATATTTAAGATGGGTTTGTTTTGCTATAATAATCTTTAGTGCCCCAAAGACTTCAAATTCCTTCAGCAACTGGCGGTGTTCCTCAATGTTCCTGCTTCACTTTTATCTTTCTGTACACCTGTACCACAGAGTGGTCTATTTTTGTGCTCTTGTGTGCTTCTTCAATGGAAACGGCTGTTGCTTTCATTCTGCCAGACTCGAGACTGTGGAGTTTTCTCAGTTTTCCTCCTCCAGTCTTAGTATTAAGCAGGCTCTGAGCACCTGTGCCTCAGAGATGGGTTTTTCTTAGTGTGTCTGTCCTCTCCTTGTCAGCTGAACTTTGCCTTGCATAGGTAGGATGTTTTGGCAGGAGCAAGTTTTTCTGCTTTTTATCAACGTAATTAATATCCTTGGCCCAAGAGTGTTTACTGCCTCTTGTATAGCTACAGATCACTTTATTCTCAGATGGTGTTTGCTTCTTAACAGGAGTGGTCTGGAAAGCAGGTGGGATTTAATGTCTGTATGCAACCAAAGTGGGGCTTGCTCATGTTTCCTGCTATGCCCCCAGTGTTCTTAGAATCCTGATAGAACCTTGGGGAAAGGAGCTAGTGAGTGGCTGTGAGCTTCTTTTTGTTTGTGGCTTCCAAAATTCTAAAGAGTACACTAGTCCACACTTGGTTTTTAAGGATAGATCAAACTTTTAGTTGTTTTCTTCATACACACTTTTATGGCTACCACTTCCTCCGTATGCTTTCCCAAAGGCGAATCAGTTCATATGTCTCATCCTTCTTTGGAGGGACTTGAAATTCAGTTCACCCGGTTGCCTTAAGACCTCAGCTCTTTGTTGACCTTTAAAAATGTAATGATTTTATTGAATATCTGCCTTTTTCTTATTATTAGGGTGGAAGTAATATTCTTGCTACTTTTTACATTGTGAGTAAAAGTGGAACTTTCTCTTAAGCCAGCCTTTTAAAGATAACTTTAAAGAGCAAAACACTGACAAGAATATAGACCTATTGAACAAATGAAGAAAAAAACTGTCATTATGTTATTCATTCGGTACTTGTAGCTTGCGATAACATTTGCAGTAATAGCCTCACATACAATTTGAAGCATGTTGTAACTCAGAGACAGCAGCAAAAATAATGGAAATGTGTTAAATGACTTTTAAATATGGGCTCTAATGATGAAGACATGGATAAATTTTTCAAGTATTGTGAATGGGAAAAAGAGCAGTTTTTCTAAATTAATATGTTGTTTTGAATACATGATTTTAAATATGAACTAATAAATCAATAAGTTATAAAATATTAATAAAATTTTAAGATTTTTATCTCTGTCCCTGAAAGTTGATTTAAACAACCTTTTATCCTCTCCAAGAATTTTGCCTTCCTTTGTATTCACCTTATTCATTCTATATGCTACAACACATTTAAAGACTGTAGTTTTCAGTGGTGACTGGAGGACCTATATGTGTAGTAAGTTGCGGAAATCTTTGGGACATTTGTTTCAGAGAGTTAGAGAAGACTCCCCCCCTCTTTCTTATTTCCAGTTGAAGTCTGAGTGTTATTATTTTTTAAGCTGTCTGACTTGAAGCTAGTTGGTTAATCTCTGATGACCTTAGTTTTCTGGAATTGAATAATAATACAAAATTCAACAATACATATCTTATGATGAATTATATTTTTGAATGATATATGTTAAGCACCAAGCATAACAACACTTCATAGTAGATCTTTAATACATGAAAGTAATAATGTAAATGTTGATGTGTTAAGTAAGAAATATTGTTTAGGATAATGCAAAAGACCATCTCTTGTTTTGATCTAGTAAGTTTCTTAGTCCCTTAAATTCTCTCATTCATAAAAAGTTAGAGTAAAATGAAAAGTAAAATTAATTTAATTTCTGCAACAGGTAGTATGTTATCTACAGTCTGGCCAACTGTATACTTTATACTGTTAATTTAATATATATATTTATATGTATAAAATATATGCTTTATATACAGGGATCGTCCATTATATGAATTTTAGAAGTTTGGTCTAAGAATAGAAAAGCTGTGTTTACTTGCTGTAAATGATGTTCCTGCAATAAAAGAAGAATAAAGATTCTTATAGTCTTTTTTTTTCTTAGTAAAATATACATTTGGGGGTATTTAATTTTCATTGCATCATTCCTCAGCAGAATTTGTGCTATGAATTTATCAAGCTTTATGAAGCAGTTTTCTTAATTAGAGACATTTTGTACGCAAATGTATGAATCTCAAAAATATCCTGAAATTTGTGCCCATTTGGCTAAACTCTGGATAATAGGCTCTGAGAATCCTAATTTTCCAGTGTCCTCCTTTCGTACTGTTTTGATGAGGAGAAAAAAGAAAACACCAGGAACATTGCAATTTGAAGGAAATGTATATATTCAAGCTCAAATTGGTTGTAGGATTAAGCAGCTGGAAACTAGGGTTGCCCTTATTTTTCGTTACTGAACTGCCCTGAGTTTAGAGAAATTACAGATTTTAAAGAGTGAAATAGTAGAGATGAAGTCAGTTTGTAGGAGAATCACAGATTTTGTTGTATGTGGAACATACTTAAAGTTTTAGTTGTTGCTTTTAGAATGTAATATCCCTGTAATATAGTGGTTTCAAGAGGATGTGATTGTGATAAAAGGAATTTATAGCACACAACGTATGTGCAATTTTGGAGACAGATATATGAATTTTCTCTCAGATGGCCAGACTTTGGATAACACGACGTTACCTGACTCGGTCAAAGTATAGTCTGTTCTCTTCCCAGAAATGCAGAAATCAAAGTTTAGGATCTCCATCAGTGATAAACATGTTGAGTTCTTCAAAATAATACACATTTGTGAAAAATAAGCATTTAAAATTACTTGATCAGAACTGATTAGAGTGTAAATCGAAACCAATTTCCATGGAGTCGATTCCAACTCATCGTGACCCCATAAGTGTCAGAATAGAACTGTGCTCCATAGGGTTTACAATGGCTGATTTTTTTGGAAGTAGATCACTAGGCCTTTCTTCCAAGGCACCTCTGGTGGACTTGAATCTTCAACCTTTTGGTTAGCAGCTGAGCACATTAACCCTTTGCACCACCCAGGGACTCTTTAGTAGAAATGGCATTTTAAAAACTGTATTTTGTACTGCATATCTCTTATGAAATTCTCTGCTGGAAAAAATATATATAAAGACAAAAAAACAAAACAACAAGAAGTAGGATAAAGGAGAAAGGTTGAAAAATTCTCTACTTGAGTTTTTGGAAAGCACAGATAATGTGTCTTTGTACTGTAACTCCCATGGTTGAGCTCGCTTGTGGTTACAGATTCTCAGGGGAGGTGTTCAGTTTAGCCCTTTCCACCCATTCCCAAGCAAATTTCATTGCTGTCTCCTTTGTGTATGTTTGTTTGTTTTTTATTTCCTTTATTACTTCCTAGGTTTTCTACTTTCACTTTGTTTTTGGCCTATATATCGTATCTTCCTTTTCGTTTGTGCCGGCTCAGCAAAGCATTAAAAATTTGTTTTTAATATTTGATTCATCATTTTGATTGTTATATTAGGACTGCTGTTTTAGGATGTCTAGTCTGTGATGGAATGGAAATCTTTATTTATTTATTTTTTAAATCTTACAGTGTATTAACCTAGATCCCTGAGGACCCCCCCCCCCACTTTAAGTTCTTAACGTTTATATACTAAGAAATTTTTATACAGCTTATGTAGGAAGTAAAATGCTTTAAAAATGATTATTATATTTCTAAAAAGTACTTGTATATTTATTTTATAGCTACTTGAAGGAAGTTTTGCCAAAGAAGTCAGCCATGAAATGGATGGACTCATTTTTCAGCCTCCTGGAGTAAGTTCATTTGTCTGTGTATATACACATAAACTCGTGTGTGTGTGTGTGTGTGTGTGTGTGTGTGTGTGGGTAGTATATTTTCCTCACATATATACTTAGGATTGATTACTGCTGAGATCACTACTTTTTCTTAAAACAAATTTTTCATTATAAAGTGTTTCATGTAAATATGTGGAATACTAAAATGAATACCTGTGTGTTTTCACTCAGCTTAAGAAATAAAACATTATTGATCATTACTTTTCAAGGAAGTTGTCTTGATATAATTAGTTTTCTTATAATTCTTATGAAATAAATGTTATATTTCTTTCATCTGCTATACAATATTACATAAATTCTTATTTCCTTCTGTAGCTTGGTATATCTTTAAGTATTAATATTTCTAAAACTTGATTTTACTGTTAAGTAAAATTCAAAGAGTTATCAGTACTTGAAGAATAATGGAATTCTTTGAATATTTATTCCATGTTGAATTTCTGAAACTCACTGAAAAATTTTCACCAACTTAAAGGTCAAATCATGTTATTTGAGGTTGTGTTTTACTCTATAGCAGGGTTTCTCAACCTCAGTGCCATTGACTTTTGGAGCCAGATAATTCTTTGTTGTGTGGGACTGTCCTGGGCATGGTAGGATGTTTAGCAGCTCACTAGATGCCAGCCAACACAGACATTGCTGAATGTCGCCTTAAGGGTGAAATTGCCCTCAGCTGAGAATCATTGCTCTATGGAGCAGTATTTCTCAAAGTGTGGCCTGTGGAGGAGGAGCATTAGCACCATCCAGGAAGTTGTTATAAACGCGAATTTTTGGGTCTCGGAGACCTACTGATCAGAAACTCTGGGGATGGGACCTGGCAATTTGTATTTTAACAAGCTCTCCAAGTGATTCTGATGTACACTCAAGTGTGAGAACCAGTACTCTATAGGAAAGAGTTGTACTTTACAGGCTATCACCTTACCAGGTAGTTCGTTTTGCTTTCATTAACTCTACCCTTAGAAATTAGGGTATGAGCTAGTTATAAAGTTACATATACCCCAAGAAACCTACTGCCATCCAGTCAATTTCTGACTCATCGCAACCACATAGGGTTTCCGAGGCTGTAAATCTCTACGGAAGCAGACTGCCACATCTTTCTCCCACGGAGCTGCTGGTGGTTTTGAACCACCGACTTTTCAGTGAGCAGTTGATCGCTTTAACCACTGCACAGCTAGGGCTCCATATAGATATAGAGATAATCAGACTGGATACCTGAAGGAAGGGGGAGGGAACTAGTATTTTTGGACACCATGTATTAAACAGTGTATTAGGTATGCTTTACCTGTTGCGGTTGAGTCAGTTCCAACTCACAGCAACCCAATAGGTCAGAGTAGAGCTGCCCCATACAGTTTCCAAGGAGCTGGTGGATTCAAAGTGCCAATCTTTTCATTTGCAGCCGTAGCTGTTAACCACTGCGCCACCAGGGCTCCATATATGCTTTAGATATATAGTAAAAACTGCTAAAATGCAAATTTAAGTAAGATATGCTTTGTGATTGGCTTCTGTCCTCCTTCCAGCCTCTCTTGCCAAATGGAGAGGGAAAAATCTAATCTTCTGTGGTGCAAAGAGGAGGGGATCAAAGATGAGAGGAGAGTTGAGGCTGGGGAAGGACATTATAGAAAGCGCTGTCTTAGGAAAATGAAAGTTGGATCTTTGAGTTCCCATTATTTTCTAGGCCCAGTCTCCCAAGGTTGAAAGAAATACAGTATAAATATAACAGTAATTACAATAAATTTCAGTGTACTAAGCTCATGGTTCAGACTCAAGCATCTGTGAGATTTTAGTGTATATAAGAGAATTGGCCTCACAATTAGGTGAGTCTCTTTCTGGGATGTCTAGTATAGTCAGTTTATTAGTTTGTTCCTGTTCTAGTAATCACACTTTTTATTACAGTGATGTTGTAATTGGTATCTTGTAAAGTAAATCTCCCTGTTCTTTGCCAGGATTTTCTGAAATATTTGTGGATATTTGGTTTAACATAAAAGTTTCAGAATCACTTTGTCAGGTTACCCAAAAATTCTTGTTAGGAGTTTAATTGGAATTGCTTTGAATTTAGAGTTATTTGGAGAAAATTACTGTCTTTATAAAGTTAAATCAAACCAGTTGCTGTCAAGTTGATTTCAACTTAAGATGACTCCATGTGTGTCAGAGTGGAACTATACTCCACTGGGTTTTCATTGGCTGATTTTTTGGAAGTAGATCACCAGGGCTTTTTTCCAAGGAGCCTCTGGGCGGAGTTAAATTGCCAACCATTAGGTTAGCAGCCAGGTGTGTTAATTGTTTGTATCATTCAGGGACACCCTTCTCTATAATAGAGTTTAAGTTTTTTATTGTTGTTGTTAGATTAATTTCTAGATATTTGTCATTTTCTATTTTTATAGTAAACGGTGTCTTATTTTCTCTTAGGTACACTATTGCTTTGTTGAGCACTCTTAGTTCTAATAATTGTCTAATTTATTACATTAGCCAGGACTTTTAAGTACTGCCTTCACCTTAAGCTCAGATTGAATGGGAGAGAAGGAGACATTTTTGTCTTGTTCCCAACCTCAAAAAGAGCATAGCCAAATTCTCTTTATGTATGTTTATGGTAGATTTCTATTAGATGATCTTTATCGTGTTAGGAAATTCCTATGTCTATTCTTCCAAATGTTTTTTAAATCGTAAGTAGGTTTTGAGAATTAACAGTTGGTTTTCCTGTATCTATTGAGATTATCATGTGACTTTCCTTTTTTATGACATTAGTGTAACAAATTACATTGATTTTTCTCATATTGAGACCCATCCTTGCATTCCTGGGATAAATGCTACTTGGTCATGATATATATAATTTTTTTAAATATACTTTTGGATCTGGGTGTAATATTTTCTTGAGGATTTCTGCCGTCTTATTTCTTACAGTTCCCCTGTCTTTTTTTGGTGTGTTCAAAATAAAGTAATATTTTTTATTATGGGAAAAATGATGTAAATTCAAAGTAAATACCTAATAATAGTTGCTCATGATTTTAAAAGTCAGTTAGGGATAACAGAGCAGTCTCTTCTGCCACTCTTTTCCCTCCTAAAGTGCCCTTCTTGGGGGGTTGTCATTTTCATTTGTTTCAGCTGTTTTCTTTTGCTACTTTCCCCCATATTTCTACAAAATCTCTTTATGCTGTTCTTGTTTTTTTTTTTTTTTTAAAACACATGATCTGCTTACTTCTGCTATTTAAAACAGGATTGAGCCCTTTATTTCACCAATATCCTATTACCTCTTCCTTCTCCTATCATCCCATTATAATTATATACATGCTGGTTAAATGAATATTCAGTATTAGTATTTTATGGTGACAAATATTGCTCACATGTGAGTCAATATTATATGATTATATATTTTTTTCTTATAAACTTTTGTTTTCACCTAGAGTTTGGAATTGCCTCAGATTTTCATATGTTAAGATTATTTATCACTAGTTCTTCCCTCAAGCTCTCCAAAAGAACTGTTAAATCCTTTTCAGTATAGTCAGACATGTCAGGTAATATATTCCATCCAGTTTTTACTTAAAGGCATTCCTTCTGAAACCCCTCATTCTCTTGCTCCAGTTGTGGCTGATTATTTTCTACTCTTGCTGCATAACTCTCTTGGGATTTCACTTCATTATCTCATCCTGAAAATTCTATTTACCTTTCTTCTCTGATGGATCCCCCACTTCTTGGACTTATGCTTTCTGTTTCTTGGCTTGAGTGATGTTTAGAACCTGATGCTGTTACAAACTCTCTGGTCCTTATACTTATGGGGCCTTTGTTTCAGCTGTAAACTGAGTAAGTTATTCTCTAGTAGTCTCTAATATGCTTATTATCTCCTACTGTTCTATTTACTCCCACTTGGCCCTAAGTTGTATAACCTGTTTGCATAGTTCTGTGCAACTTGATTGTAATCCTTCCTTATTATATGTATTGAAGAGTTAGAGAAAAGGTACAATAAACTTTGTAGCTAAAGACTACTTATGTAAATGTCAGAAATTCCCAAAAGTTTTAGATCTACTCTTAGTTTATAGATTTAATTTTACATTATTAGAAACTTATCTAATACATCATACTTGATACCAATATTAGACAATTAAACTGAAAAGAAGAGAGGGTATATAATTTTACTCCAACTCTCTAATTGTAGTAAGCCTTCTAGGGCATTGACCTTCTCTGTCTCTTCCTCTCTTCTGATAGCTATTCTTCTTTGTGTCTTCTAAAGTATTTATATTCTCCTTTCCTTTTTATAGAAGACACGTTCATTTTTATGCCTATAGCTGTTGCTGACTCCCAAATCTATCTTCAACCCATGCCTTTAATTTCACCTCTAGTACTTTGTCCCTTCATATTATACATGTCTATGAGGGACATCCTATTGTTAAATGGTCACTGTAAAGTCTGTTAAGTGGCTCATCCTTGCTATCTGTTCTTTTTTTTTATTATGTCAATTTGGGTCCTTAATGCTTTATTTCAGTAGATTCTTAACTGCTGTTTGCTATCTATACTATCCTTTCTCTCCAGTCCCCCCTATTTTTCTACTTGATAAAATAATATTCTGGAAGAAAACTTTAAATGGGTTAAACCAGTGCTGACTGACAGAAATACATGCATATCACAAATGTCAGCGACATACGTAATTTAAAATTTTCTGGTAGCCACATTAAGAAAAGTAAGAACAGTTTAAATTAATTTTAATAATGTATTTGCTTTAACTCAGTGTTTTAAAAAATATTATCATTTCAATATTTACTCAGTATAAGACAGTTATTAAGATATTTTACATTCTTATTTTCATATTAGGCATTCAAAATCCAGTGTGAATATTACACTTATAGCACATCAGGGACTTGCCATCTTTCGAGTGCTCCACAGCCGCATGTGTATTGGACAGTGCTTTCCTGCTTCCTCCTTTCTCTGTGTGCGTATGGCACTCGTACTTATTTCATTTGTGGTCCTCAGTTGAA